TTTCCCTCCCGGTAATGTGCACCACCAGTGCTCCCCTTTACCAACACCACCAACTTCCCTTCAGTCCGTGTATCTCCAGCACCAATCTCGCCCCCCCCCGCGCGACCTCAGTTGGCGAAAAGTGTAGGGACACCGCTGCTCAGTGTATTATGAATGCCAATAGAAGAATGGGGGAACTCACCAATAAGGTCTTGTACACACAGGTTTCAGCTTGTATAAGACCAGTGCATAGAGAAAGCTTTTATAAAGCATTTGCAAAGCCAGCATCAAGCTTCTTTATAGACTTTATATCTGGTGTAGGCAAACTCCAGCTGTGGGGAAACTACAAATCCCATTGGGCATTGCCACAGGTATGACTCCCAGAGGGAGATGCATGATGGGTTTTGTAGTTTTACTACATCTGTCGGGCTGGGGACGGCCTACCCCTGCTTTATAGCAACCTTCATCTGCAGTTTGGAGATATTAAACACAGATCTTTTTGGAAACAGAGGCTGTCACTTTAAACCAGCTGCTAGCCGGCTTCAGTAAGTTTAGCACTCTTTGGACTCTGGTTGAAGCCCACTAGCAGCTTGATGAAAGTGACAGCCAATGGTCCCATTTATATCTGTATTTTACATCCTCGAAGGTTGCTTTACAAGGTTCAACAAAGCTTGCTGAAAGCAAATGCTTTGTAAAAGCTAATTGCAGGCTGGTGCCAGTGTGAACAAGGACTTTGAGTTGTAAGAAATGTCAGGTGGTCTAACTCAGTGGTCCCCAACCCCCGGGCCGCGGACCGGTAACGGTCCGTGGATCAAATGGTAACGGGCCGCGGGGCCTCGCACTGCCAACGGGCTTCACAGTGAGGGGGCGGGTCCTGTGACTCACCTCCCGGCCGCGTCCATAGTAACAGGCGGCGGGAGGGGAGTCACAGGAGACGTGTGTGTCACAAGCCCCGCCCCCTGCAGTGAGTGCACACAACTCCCTGGCTGGGTAAGTCCGAGCGCGGGAGGGGGGAGAGGAGGCAGCAGCAGCTGGGTACAGATATGTCGGTCGGTATCTGGATGGGGGAGTAACTCTCCAGCATCTACTGAGCTATGAAATACCAGTTCTGGGTAACGTATAATGTATGGAGAGAGGAAGAGCTGTGACCTGATCTATGTGATTGTCTTTATTTTAGTTCAAGAAAAGAGTTCAAGAATCCACACAAGTTCTAAGAGAACTGGAGATCTCCCTACGAACCAATCACATTGGGTGAGTGCTGTATTCTACCTAGAGGGAAAACCTCTCCCCTCCCACCAAATCCTCCACGGCATGGGTTTAGATACGTCAGCTTCACACTAAGGATGGGGTAGGCACTCCAGCTGTGATGAAACTACAAATTGCACCATTCCTCTGCCCCTGGGAGTCATGCCTGTGGCTGTCAGTGTTGCAATGCCTCATGGGAGTTGTAGTTCTAGAGCAGCTGCATTGCTGAGGTTGCCCGCCCCTACACTTGATTAATGCGTTTTATAATGTCACATTGCTGATTGTATTAAATGATCCCTTTGTTGGTGAACAATTTACTGACTAAAAGAGGGAGACAAATGAGGAAGAGGTTTCGGAAGTCTAAAATTATTTCTAGACTACTTTTGGAGGACGTTTATTCCAAACTAAACCACCAACTCTCACTCAAGTCCTGAGCTCAGAATGTTCTATAGAACTGCTTATTGCTTCATCTCTTTTTGGTCTAGAGATTTTTTCACCCATTTGAGGGCTCCATAACCATGATACCATAGTGCATGAGTTAATATACTGTACACATACCGATTACACGCTGGCATGCGTTTTTCACTTGAAATGCACTGTGGCGCATTGTAATGCATTTAAAACCGGCCTTGTGGTGCATTATCTCTGCAGCTCGTTGGGTTGGGTTGCGGCTGCACGAAAATGCATGTTGGTGTGACCTGAAACCATAGGCGTGAACAAGCCCTGAATCATCCTCTAGTTTTATAGACAATCCTCAGAACAACTGAATCCATATTTGTGAAGTATTTCTTCAGATGAAACATTTGTGGATCTCTTTGGTCGGTCTCGTGTTTCACGTATCCAGCAGGGTGATAGTTATTGTGCTGCATTATTTCTCGCAGCTGACCTTCCTGTGTCAGGTTAAAGAAAGCAGATGGCATGTTGTATTTCTATGACTCTGCAATCAATTCCAATTCTACAATTTAAAATGATTTATTTTTATTGACTATGTACATATTCAATTATTATTATTATTTATTTGGTAAAAGTCAATTCACAAAGACAGTTATGCTGGGCACACACCTTACAACCATCGCAAGACTTTTGTCTTGCGATGGTTGTAAGGTACTTTAAAAAACGTACGATCTGCCCATCTTGCATAGGCAGATCGTACTTGCAATGATCGCAAGCCATGCCCCCTGAGGGGCGGGCTTCCGATGACCGCAATGCCGAATGAGCAGTGTACGCTTGCGCACACCGGCCCGTCCGGCTTTTATCTTTCGAACATGCTACACACCCGCCGAACATCGTACGATGCTCGGCGGGTTTTGAAACATGTTCATAGGTTTGAAGTCGTGCGACCTTACAGTAGTAGAGGTCGCACGGCTTCCACACACCTTACGATCATCGTACGATCGCGGGATTTCCCGCAATTATCGTACGATTATCGTAAGGTGTGTGGGGACCTTTACATAGGTTACAACTCCTTGAAATACCTCTTTATTTTCTGGCTGCACAGTTCTGCGACGGGTCTATTGAAGAGAGAGGAATAGAGTCATTCATGTTGGTAATAAGATAGCAATTCCTCCACCGTGAAGCATCTGTTTCTGAACGGAGTGTTTTGATGAGAAAATAGAAAAAAAAATGGCAAAAAAAATGCCAGTGTGTCATGTAGTAAATTCTTACCATGCTCTCCTCCTCCTGTATGCTGCCTAAGCACCAGCACCTGCAACCCGGCCACCCCAGCACTGCAAGGGTTAAATGGCCGTGTGGTGTAGAGGGCTAAAATAACAGTTACACTCACCTGAAAACACGATCTTGGCTGGCTCTCGGCAGCCTGCCTCCTCCGCTCCAGCCATGGTATATCCCTCAGCGTCCTCGCGTCCTATACACTGTATAGGGCGTGATAACTCACTGGACCTTAGACCGCTGAAGCAGAGAGGGAGCAAGGCTGAAGGGACCATTCTAACAGCCAGCCAAGATCGTGCTTCGGGTGAGTATATCTCTGTTATTTCAGCTCCCTAGATGAAATGAACACTTAACCCTTGCAGTGGGAGGGTAGCCCCACTTCAAGGGTTAAGATTGAATTTGCCCGGAGTTCTGCTTTAAAGCCCACAGTATGTGGTCACTGAAAATGCACTTTGTGTTCCCTTTAATTATGACAATTGCTACTCTTTCAGGAACTTATGTGACCACTTTCTAACTCCGTCCTCTTTAACTAAGAAAAGATTTAAAACAAAGCTCTCAGCAGAGGGCCACCACTGGCTGCTCTAATGAGAAGAGAGATGAATAGCTGGAGCTGGCACCTCTTTTTGTTTTTCTGCACCCAGTTGTTTTTCCGTTTTTCATCTTTCCAGGCTAAAGAAGTCATAACCCACATGGTGGACACTTACAGAACCACACACGGTCTGGGAGCCTTTTGCGCTACTTCAAATTCTTGTTTCTTTCTCTATATTGTGACAAATCTTATTCTCTGCGGTCATGGTGTAAGGTTCCTTTCTACTGTTCACAGGTGGGTGGAAGAGTTCCTGAGTCCAGAGGTTGGCGGCCTTGAAGCTTTGGTGGACTACCTGTCCTATGCCCAGTGCCCCTTCGCGTAAGTGGACACATCTAAACTATTAGAGGTGCTTTGTGTGCACCTATATGCAGATGTAATGGTTGTCTAGAAAAGTCTTTCTGACCATTGAAACTCTTTTCCAGTTGTGTTGATATCTAGGTATCCTATAGAATTAATTCCTGGATTCTATGTCTACTACATGACTCGTCTCTCACTTTCGCCAACTTCTCTCTCCATTCCAGGTTAGATATGGACAGTTCAGACAATGGAACACCTGACAAATCCAAATCCTTACAGAGGTCAATGGAGGATATTAACAAAAGCAGCACATCCTCTTCTCCCACAAGCATTCCATCGCGTGCCCGCAACCTAACCACCAAGTAAGCCATAAGATGCATGAGAACACCACTTGCCTTCTGGGTATTCCTTCTCTTCTTGGCACCAGTTGGTCTTTACTTCCACAGTGACTGAATCATTAGCGGTGATATGGCCTGTTACCTCAGGACCCAAACCCTTTCCTTCTATTAACACCCTTCCATCATGGAATCCTCCACAAGCATAACAACTGACTATGAACTTCTTTGTTCCATAACCATCTATACCCATACCCTATACATTTCTATATTCATAATTTAAATGTATAGATATCTAGCTAACACCTTACTGAGCATGTCACGTGAAAGCTAAGAAACCCTCTGCCTGTAAGCCGTGAATTCCCAAAACGTGACATGACCACTAAGTACATTTCGTCCTCTAATAACCAACCTGAGTTTCGTCCACTAAATCCAGATTATGGTTTTCAGCCCCAGTCTTCCCCAGCCTTCCTTATTCCTTGTCTGCTAGGATAACCTTTCCACAGACATGACTACACGATCTGTTCTATGTTGTGTAGTGTTTTGTATTTGTTTTGTATTATGTATTTAATTTGTATTATATTATGTACTTTGTTGCTATTAAGGAACAGAACATCTTATTGAAAACCACATTATCTACCACATAATTAAAACCAGTCCCTTGGAAACGAGGGTAAACAATGGCATGAGATTACAATCACCCGGGTAGTTTAGGCTCTTAAAGTGAACCAGCCAGGATGGAAATACGCCAACGCTAACTTGCTGCTTCTTCGTTAGGCACTGACCTGGAAAAAAAAAAGTACAGACAGTGAAGTTTCGGTAGATTTGAGATGCAAATTATTTTTCCAGGTCAGTGACTTAAATGGTCTGATAAGGAAGACAGTCCTGTAGTTTGCAATTTCCAAAACAAGTCAGCAAATGCAGCTCCTATATTCCTATCCTGATGGAAAAACTGGCCATACAGGTTACAATCAAATTGTACAATTTTCTGTAGATTTGCCAAAATTGTGTACTGCAAGGACCTACTTCAAGAATCTATTGAGTTTGTATCCACTCACAGACAATTGCATTGCATCGTTTTGAGAATTTTAATATGTACAGTCAGATTGTAACTTGTATGGTCAGCTTTGTATGCGTGTCAGCAGATGTAAACATTTCACAATGAATCACTTGGAAGTACAACACAAAAATAGAAGGTTACCCTTTCCTGACAATCCCACAGACCCATTAATAAGGTAACAGCCTTGCACAATTACCACATAAGTCAAAGTACAGTAAGTGACAACAACCAATCAGTGATGCTTTAAAAGGTCTAAACCCTTGGTTCTCAACTGGTGGGTCATGACCCTATGTTCAGTGTGTCACAGCGTGCCTTCCACTTTTCTAGGTGAGAGGCTCCTCAGCCTCCACCTTTTGCAGCTCTGTCAGTTCTCACGCCAAAATATGCTGCCTGGCACCGAGTTTCAGCTTGAGGCGGATTGGGCTGTGGTTATGGCAGCAAGGGAGCTCCATCCATATGTACAGCTCCCTCGTGTGTCCTGCAGAGATGCCTGGACTGGAGTGACGTCACATCCTGGCTCCTGCCACCTCTACAGGGCATGCAAGGGAGTTGTACAATCAATGCACATATGGATGAAGCTCTGTCACAGCACAGCAGCCTGCACTGGACCCCAGGCTGAGGATCCACTCCAGTTCTCGTATGGTAGGGAGACTGGGTGGATCTTAAAAAAAAAAGAAAAAAGAAAAAAAAATGTTGTGTGTGAGATTGTCCCTGTGGTTGTGTGAGTCTGTCAGTGTTTTTGAGGGCCTTTTAACACTAGTACAGTGCAATAATCGCACAGTCCCGTGTGAGTAACACACTGTACTGTGCAATCGCACCTACTATGCTTTCTAATGTGGGAGGTGTGTTACGTTGCCATTCATTTGAATGGCATCCAGTGGCGTAACAATCCCAGGCGGCCGCTATGGGGCCCGAGGCACGGCGGGGCCCAGCCAGGACATCTCCCTGATGCCATGCGGGCCGCCTGGGTCGCTATGGCATCTTGCTCGGACAGCCAGGCTGCTGGCTGTCACTGGCGGCTGTGAGGAAGAACGCTCCGTTCCTTCTCACAGCCGCTGCTGAGTTGGTGACAACCAGCAGCTTCGCAGGAGGTGGCTGGGCCCGTCATCGGCAGTGATCGAGGGGGAGGTGGCCCGGCGATCGAGGGGCGGGGCCCGGCGATCGAGGGGTGGGGCCTGGCGATCGAGGGGGTGGGCCCGGCGATCGAGGAGGCGGGGCCCAGTGACGGAGGAGTCGATCGTGGAGGAGAAGGAGGCAGACAGAGGATCAGGGCTGACAGGTAAGAGGGCTTGACCGCCCGCCTGAGACCCTGCAGAGCCTACTATAGAGAGTCTATGGTGGGCTCTGCAGGGTCACCCTCAGGTGGGCTGTTTGGGTTATCAGGTGGGCGTAACTAGAAATCACAGGGCCCCATACAAAATTTTGCTATGGGGCCCTGTGATTTCTAGTTACGCCCCTGATGGCATCCCAAATGCATCTCCCACCCGCAGTTCGATCGCAGTGCGACTTGGGTCGTGACTTAGTGAACAAGGACAAATGTTGGTCCTGAGGTTTACACAGGTTGAGAACCACTGTTCTAAACTATTCAAAAGTGACATCTGATTGGTGATTGTGGATCACTGCAAATAGTGCTCTTTTCACTTATTAAATAGCAATGCCTGACCACAAGCAAGTTTTAGCACTGCTGGTGACATTGTTATCTGTTTGGTATCAAGAAATGGCTGGCAAGCTGATTTAATTTATGTTAACAGATACAACTTTTACAACCGCGCTACAATGAGGAACTCCCGGCACGCTAACATGAAGGATGATGTACACGTGTGTGTCATGTGCTTGCGGGCAATCATGAACTATCAGGTTTGTACCAGATAAAATGCTAAGTGTTGTAATTGTGATTGGCTAGCTGAAAAAATTAAAGAGGAAAGTTCAGGTCTATGTACCAGCCATGTTACAACATAGAGAACTGTCCTCTTATGTGTAGTAGTACAGTGTAATACAGTCCTCATTCTGACATAGGAGTAAAACCAATTACAGGGACATACTTCATTCTCCCAAAAAGTCAATCCATCAGTCAACGATGCATGTAAGTGTCACTTTGTCTGAAGCAAGTATAATTTGCAAAGTATAGCAATGACTAAAACTTGAGACCTCCTGTAGTTCTTTCTGTTCTGATCCCCTCTGCTTCCAATCCATTGGCCATGTTGGCCACAGGGTCTCTGGAGGAGAAGCTCAGGGGCCTGATGTGTAGGCAGAGCCAGACAGTATGTGGAGCATTGGCTACATGGTGTCGGGTAGAGAAGCTTGGAGGACTAACCTTTAGTCAGAGCCAGACAAACAGTGGAACACTGGCCACATAGTCTCTAGAGAAGGAGTTTGGGGGAGTGATGTTCAGGCAGAGTCAGAAATTAAGTAGAACATTTACCACGTAGTCTCTTCAGGGGAAACCTGGACCTTTAATGCATTTGTGCCTCCAATGAGCAATGCGGAGCAGTAATAAAGTCCATGTCCACTTGTCACTTGCTTTGCTATGAGGGAATGACAGTTGCAAAACATTGTAATTGCTGCGACCAAACAAGAACTCTTGTAAGGAAATCTGGCTGCTGCTAAGGGATATAAAGGGGGCAAATCAACTTCAAGAAAAGCTCAGGAACAGGCCTGGAGGACCACCAGTTTAGGGTTTCATAAGTCTAACATTTGAACTCATCTGTTAAATTTGTTGGTAATAGACCTCATATTATGTATGTGTAATAGACCATAGTCAATATGTGTATTGATATATATTGTATTCAATGACTGTGTCTTCTTCCCATACAGTCAGGATTCAGTATGGTAATGTCCCACCCCTCCTGTGTAAATCAGATTACTCTCAGCCTCACCAACAAGAACCCCCGGTGAGTAAAGCCTGTGATAGGAACTCTACAGCTGATATGACACCTCCTGCCATTATTTTTTGGATGTCCTCTATCTTCCTTTTTCTTCTACATTTCCTTCCAAATGTCAGCTCCAATACTGATTAAAGGAAACCTGTCATGAGCTAAAACAAAGTGGCTACCTTTGGTGACCTCTACCTTTGGAAATGCTAGGTGCTTAGCTTGCATGTTGAACGTTTTTCTTCAATACATTGAGACACTGGTCCTGAACAACTATGCAGATAAAGCCCTTTGACTTTTTTCAGACTACATTCACGTTCCTGGTCAGTATATATCTAAGCATTGAAGACCGTGGGCCAGCACAGCAGCCAGGCATATATTAAAGCACAAATCTAGCACCATGCGCCTCCATCCTTTTCCTCTGTTGCCACAATAGCATCACTAGGTTTGAAGGGCTCATCATGTTTTCAACATGCAATAACATTTTACAATATTAAATTAATTTCCTGTTTTATCTACTAGCAGGCTCTGCACCATTTCCTACAACATATATCATATATCATATATAGGCTTGTTACCTGCAGGCATTGCACAGCAGTAGGACAATAGCACAGCTAACTTTTTACTGTTTCTCTCCTTGCTCCTTCTTCATTTTAAAATACATTTGTCTTTTTCTTTAGTACGAAGGCCCTGGTCCTGGAGCTACTGGCAGCCGTATGTCTGGTCCGGGGAGGACATGAACTGATACTCTCAGCCTTCAGTTATTTCCGGGAGGTAGGGTCATTAGCAGATGTGAATGACATACAAATAAGGAGGTGGGGTCATCAGGGACAATGACATACAAATAAAGGAAAGCAGTGATCGCTGATTGAAGCGATTCTCCTTACACTTGTCCTGGTGACGCAACAGAAAATGTGGGTCAATTTCCGCAGTGGGATGCAGAAAGCACTTTGCCCATAACTTAAAAAAAATTGGCTGGTACCCCAGTCCGTCAACACAAGGCAACTTTTGTCATGTTTTTATTCCTGTGTCCCCACTGGAGACATTCTTGTTGTCACCAAAATGTGAGGGACATTTTTCTATGGGGATATATCTTTCTGTAAAACCTATCTAAGGAAGGTTTTGCGTTCACTTTGATGAGATTTCTGCTTACTTCCTGTTGTATCTAAGGGACAGGAAATACAAGGAAATCTCCTTAATGAAACATAGCAAAAAAAATTACAATTTTCTACTGTAGTCAAAACTGGCTTTAGAATCACCTTGTATATAAACACATTGAGGGGAATTTATCAAAACTGGAGAAGACAAAATTTGGAGCAGCTGTGCACTGCAACCAATCGGCTTTCATTTTCAAATCTCAACTGAACAAAATGAAGAGAGAAGCTGATTGGTTACTATGGACAACTGCTCCAGATTTTGTCTGCTCCAGCTTGATAAATTCCCCCAATGTGTATTATATCAGGGTTGCCAAATTAATATGGAATTCAGGAGCCAGACTGTCCAACCCAGGAGCAAGCAGGATATTTTAGGAGCCAGCTTCATTGACAACAACTAGCTGTTATTTTTAAGGAGCATTGGCTACCTGGCTCCTGTGATTTTGTCCAGCCCTGCATTATATATAATATAATTGTATTAACTATTCCCATAGCGTGTAATAATCATTACTACATCTGACTGTATACGTGTCTGCACAGGTGTGTGGAGAAGGTGCAAGATTCGAAAAGTTAATGGAATATTTCCGAACTGAAGATTCCAACATTGACTTTATGGTGAGTGTACAACATTGACATTGAAGTGGGTTATACAAATATGAGATACAAAAGGTTGGGATCTGAGTAATAACCTCAAGCATTTCAGATGTCTCAAACTGTTGATGTATGCCCATGAAGACATAGTTTGAGGAGTTTGTGTGTGGAGGAATTTGAGATGCTTACGTAGACCGCTGGCCCTACTGAACACCTTTGGAATGAATTGGAACACCAATTGCGATCCAGGTCTTCTCAGTAGTTGACCTCCCAAATGGGCATGATTAGCAAAGACACTCTCCAAAATCTTGTATATGCCTTACCAGAAGAGTGGAGGCTGTTATAGCTGCAAAGGGGGGGGCACTTCACATTAACGCCTGTGTGTTTGGGAATGGGATGTCCAACCATCTCATATAGGAGAACCTTTTTGCTACCCACTGCAACACAGCAGCTTCTAATCTTCATGTTTCCAGGACAGGTTAGAAAGGACAGTTAAAAAAACTCTACTTTCCCTGAACCCCCCCCAAGGTCCGCTCTCTCTCACTTACATTCTCCTCCTCACTGTTTTCCTGTTTCTGTCTCTCCCCATTAATATTCTTTCTCTCTTACTCTCCCCTCTTTCCCCCGTTGGCATCCCTTGCTCTTCTTATGTCATGGATGTTTGGACTGTTCGTTTAGAGAATCTCTAAAGCAATGGCGACCCCTGTCCCTATAGGTAGTTCCTCACTGGGTCGTTATAATATATTTCCATGGATCCGCCCTATGCAGTAATTGTCATGCCACTCATGTTATCATATTCCTTCTATATTCTCGGACCCTTACATTACGTATTTGCATGCTTATATCTACTCACCTTCAGTGCCCTTTACTGATATCTCAATTTGATATGCCTATTTGTCCATGTGTATTTTCTCACGTTACCACTGCCGGACCAAAGTTGTTGTATGTTTGTTTTGGTTTTTGTGTACTGTACTTTAATACGAATTGTTCGAATTCCGTGAACTCTGTTAATAAAAACTGATTCAACTCTAAAAAAAACCCTCTACTTTCCAATATGTTTATATACTTGGCTGTCTTTCCTCCATTGTTTTAATGAATAATATGTGTTTGTGTGTCTGCAGGTGGCTTGCATGCAGTTCATTAACATAGTGGTCCACTCTGTGAAAAACATGAATTTCCGGGTTTATCTGCAATATGAATTCTCCCTCTTGGGATTGGATGAGTACCTTGAAGTAAGTGTGCACCCAGTTACAGATCTCTTACAGCCAGTTGCAAGCGGTACAAGTCTTCATAGATATGTTTGCTAACCTGTCATGAGGCAAGATGGAAATTTCGTCTCTTTACTGCAATATCCAAACATAGTTTGGATATTGGGTAAATATCACAATCAAAACAAACCAGCAAAGTAAATAATTATTTCCTGATTTGCAGGAGTTGAAGAAGACAGAAAGCGAAAGGCTTCAGGTACAGATTCAGGCCTATCTTGACAATATCTTTGACGTGAATAATCTTCTAGAGGACACTGAGAACAAGCATGAGATGCTGGAGCATGTTGATGATCTACAAGTTCATTTGGCTCATGTAAGTTCCTAACATATGGACAATGGGATTTGTATGATACAGGAGAACTGCTGAATTCTGTAATGTACTGAGTAACCTTTTATGGTTTTTTAGCTCACAGAGAAGCTACAGCAAACAGAGAATGAGTACATGAGAAGAGTGGCAGAGCTAGAGAAGCAGCTGGACCAGACTCGCAGGGAAGTGGCTGCTTTAAAGGTAAGTGTGTTTTCTGAGGTTGGCAACCCAAATGTATTTCACAACTGCATTCAGGACGAAAAGAGTTATCTTTATCGTTAGCATTGTTGTGCATGTCTGGTGAATGATAAATATATATATGCACTTCTACACTACATGCATGTTTCCTCTCTTTACAAATGCTGGAAGTAGGGTAAAATACCCTTTAATCTGCCACAAATCCAGTGAGCTCCTAACTGCACTGAAATCCAAAGCATTGTTGTCAGCCCTGCTTGAGTTCTTCTTTGCTGGACTATAGAACTCCGCCTGTACCATGCCTCTTTGTCCCTCTCTGCATTCATACATTTATTTCCTATCCAGCAAATCAGTGCTACTGCCTTGACAACCAAGAGCCTGCCCACACACTGTGTACAGAAATGGCTTTTGGGAGATGTAGTCCTGCTTAGATCGGTAGGAATTGATATAAGGCACCCTGCTAATCACACCTCCCAGCAGCAGATCCTGCAAGATTTATACAAACCTGGTACTGTGGGGGGTTTGGGTTTAATTTAGGTCATACCTAAAAATCCTTTAACACTAAACCATTGTGTGGACAGAACTTGTGCTTGGAATGAACTATTGACCACTTAACAATGTATTCTTCCTCTCAAATCCTTCAGGAGAAGCAAGCTTCATATGCCCCGATGGATACACACCTGGCTGTAAGGCGTTTAAAATCCAGCGATCAAGGAGTACTGTGGGTTGAGCCTGCAGGAGACACGTGTACAGATGACTCCTCTCCTAGCAGTGAAAACACGGGGTACCCCATTACCATGACTGTCCCTCCAGTCTCCCCATCAGCCATCAGGCTTACTATAGTATCTCCTCCAGCCACAGCTTCAGGTAAATGTTTTTTTTTTACACATCTTTTAAAAGGAAGCTAATCTAAGTCTAAGTTCTGTGTGTGTTGACTTAATCAACTGTGTGAATAATTTGAGCTCCACCTATAGAGCTCTGCATACACAGACTGTTTTTCAGCAAAGCTGTTAAGATTCGCCTATAACTTTTTCCTAAACATAATAGAGAAGATATGCACACCGACTCTAGACTTTCCCTGTATGTGCAGCTGTAATTCTGTAATACATGCTGTGGTATAAGGTAGATAGGGTAGACATAGCAAGGCTTAATTTCTCTATTCGAGATCACCCTAAAATTTCAATCAACATGAAAATATTTGAATGAATTATTTAGGCTATTGGGCCAGATTAAAATTAAGATGTGCCTTCTATACCATTAAGGATCACCCATTTTGTTTTATTGAAGTGACATTGATGAAATGTTTGGTGTCATGGTGCTAAATGACTGATGAGCCCTGTGATATGTTTTGTCCAGTTCAGGCTCCATTTGGCAGCCTCCATACATAGCTGATGCCCTCTCCATGTGGCTCAAAGGAACCCTTCAGGCAGCATCAGAACTTTCTACCCAGTTTTTAGACTCATGTAGATAGCAAGTCATTTACACACCCAAGCATCTGCCTTGCTAATCTAGTGTGAGTGCCATAGTAGCATAAAAAGGAATAAAAAAGAAGTGTTTTTCTTTTTATACTGCTGTTTTTACATATTTGTACTGTATCTGTGTGTGTATGTATCTATAACTGTGTGTGTAGATATACATTACATACATAGATAAATACATGAAACAGGTTTTTCAGAGCATTATATAAATGTTATCTCTTTTCAGTCTGGCATTGTCAAATTGAAACCTCAGACAGAGCAGTCTTAAAGGGAAGTGTCACTGGTCTGAGTCACACTGAGCTCTTATAAACCGGGTTTTACCAACAAAGTAGCTAAGGAGACGAGGGAAAGCAAGTAAAAAGCTGGCTGCATAGATCCCTATTATACTACTATACAATATTTCATATTTACCTAAACAGAACTAAAGCTTTTATTCTTTTAGTTGTTTAGTTAGTTTAATAACAATAAAAAAATGTATATAATTCCTCTAAGTTTTATTTAATTACAAGATGACATTTTATTTATTGCAAAAGCACTTTGTCTTATAAGCCATAACCTTCATGCAGAAAACCTGTGCCTAGGAGATGGACAATTTGGAGTATAAAGTTTACATCTTGTCCCCTGTTTTCAGATACTGTTACTCACAAGACAGAGGAATATTCAGATGCTTCCAACTCTCCTTTACTGTCAATTCTGGAGTCAGAGGTCCGCACTGCCCCGCCAGTTTCAGGGTTGGATCTCAGCATGGTCACTACCATCTCTTCAAAGATCATGTCTGAGTCTGCGGTTCCACCACCTCCTCCCCTACCAGCAACAAAGGGTGACAATACAGAATGCCAGCCACCACCACCCCCGCCGCTACCTTCTGATATCAGCGGGTTTCAGCCAGTTACACCAGCTCCTGCTATCTCAGGTGTTCCTCCTCCACCGCCACCTCCTCCTAATTTCATGAATGGCTCTCCTGTTCCTCCACCGCCCCCTTGTGGACCTCCTGCTCCTCCTCCACCTCCTTGTTTTGGCGGTGGCCCCCCTCCTCCTCCTCCGCCATTTTCTGGAGGCCTTACTGGACCACCACCTCTTGCACCAGGCGGCTTAACTACAGGTAATAATGAAGAGGACTATTGTGCTAAGGTAACATGTTTGAGTACTTAAATAGTGCTGGCCTAGTTTTGATCGGATAGCACAATCGCCTTTAGATCTGTAAACAACAAGCACCTGTCTGAGTGCATGCAAATAAAAGCCAGGCTATGCCAAATATATCTTTTGTTTTGGATAGAGCAGGGAAGTGTTAGAATATCTGTAGAGTTTTTATTGCCATCTGTGTCTCTACTGGGAAGATTTTCCTTCTCTGGGTTTCTGGCAGATGAACAGTTTTTCTTCTATACTAGCAGAGTGATTTTCTTTATATAATCTGTGATAATAAAGACTTGGCAGGAGAGAAAACAGTACAGTCATTTGAGTATCCAGCTCACGTGAACATATGTCACTGCATACAATGTTTGGGGTTACAACATGCAAGATATAAAATCTCGTATGTAGAACAAGCCATCAGTGTTGGTTAATGATTGTCTCCTTCCAAGTCTAGGCCTGTTACCGTATGTGTAGTGACTCTTGCAGAGTGTTTAAAGAGATGAAGCATGGGGAAATGTGTGCGATGTTGTATAGATATACTGGATATGTGGTGTTTTAATGCTTCTTTGTAGGAAAGGGGAGATTTTCCAACACCACAAATATCAATGGCATCAGAAAACCAATAAATAAACATTGCTATCCCTGTCATGTAGGTGTGAGTATTAAGAAACCAGTACAGACTAAAAACAGGATGCAAGTCTTCAACTGGGTGGCCTTGAAACCCACACAGATCACAGGTACCGTCTTCACGCAAATGGATGACGACAAGGTTCTTCAGGTAGGAAAAACATGACCCGTGCTTTGATGTAACGTTGGGACCATGACATTAGTGAAGTCATCTTATTGTATTGCTTCTGTCCTACCTTCAGGAACTTGACATGAGTGACTTTGAGGACCATTTTAAAACGAAGGCCCAGGGTGCAAGTGCGAGCACCTTTTCAAAGAAAGTGAAGGCAGCACAGAGCCAGCCAGCCAAGATTTCCCTTATTGAGACAAATCGGGCCAAGAACCTGGCAATTACCCTCAGAAAAGCAGGCCTATCCCCTGAGGCCATCACTTCTGCTATTCAGCGGTAAGTAACCAAGGGTTCCTTAGTCAGTCATTGCCCTTACATACTATCTACAGTGTAAACAAGGACACTAATGGAAGAACACAGGAATCTGTTCATCATTGAATGAGTATAGTCTTCTAATGAAGCGGTGGGGAAAAAGATTTTACAGTGAGAACAAAAAATCCAATTTTTCTGAATGATCTCGCATTTAATTTGGCAAATTACTTGTAAAACTTCTGGTGCACTATAAGAAGATGGCCTCTCTGTCAAAACTCTCATGTTGTTTGCTTATGTGTTACAGGTATGATATGCAGGCCCTGAATGTGGATTTCCTGGAGCTCCTGGGAAGGTTTCTTCCAACAGATTGGGAGCGGCAGCAAATCTCCCGCTATCTGAAGGAGGAGAAGCCTCTAGACCAGCTGGAGGCAGAGGACAGATTCATGGTCCACCTCTGTTCTATCCCCAGACTGGCTGAGCGAGTCAACACAATGATCTTCATTTCCAGTTTTGCCGACACTGTCACCCGTCTTACGCCGGTAAGAGTAAATGATTTTTTGATACATATGGAATATAGAGCTATGGTTCTGCTCTTACAGTTAGGATAACATTACACCTTAAACAGTAATTTCACTTCCTTACAAAATGTGGGGAAAAGATATTTACCCCAGAGCATTCCGCCACCTCTTCCTGGCCCCACTATTCATGTGTTTTAGCTGCATGGGGAACTCCCCAGCCGCTAGCCAATGTACGGTCTGTACACCGTACGCCACACTGCAGATCCAGCATAACACTTGCAAATGGCAAGCGCTCATTGGTCAGTATAGTTACATGACCACTCTGACCAATGAGAAGTACTTCTGAGCCTGGAACCACGTCCTCAAAGAAAGTAAGTAGCGCTAATCATTAGTCAGCATGGTCATGTGACCGTGGCCCTTCCTGTGTGATCTTGCAGAGCCCTCCTAGTAATTATTGTGCACTAGAGAATGGTATGCTTTTATGTTGTAGAGATCTGAGGTTGGAAGTGGCTGAGTATTTTAGCAATAGACACTGGGCAGGGCTGACACTCCACTTAACAATGCTGTGCGTTGTGAGAAGAGTGCATTTCTATCCGATCATCAAGTCATTTTGTGTACTGGGTCTTTAAAGGAAACAATGCGCATGTATTGCACAGATGTACTGCATATTGTTTTACTTTTACCTTCACATACCTTTTAAAGTGATTCTAGCACTTAAGATACTACCAGGCATAAAGGGAAGTCACTTTCTCTGCAGTCACTCTGCTACTGGTAATGAAGGCAGTTCTAATCGGGCAAAGCTCTGACACTTCCTTCCTTATAGTTTAAAGTTTGCCAGTTCATTACTTTACTATGACTGGCTGCCCCACTGGCAAAGCTGAATGTGTGGGCAAACTTTGACATTGCCAGGAAGTGCCGAAACATTGGTTGGTCACAGTGTCCCTGCATTTGACTGTACAGCAATGAAAGCAGCAGCCCGCTCTTCTTTTTTTTTTCTCTTATAAAGTGAGAGAATTAGTTAGCGGGTGAGATCAAACAGGCGAGGAGTTATATTTTTATGGATGTTACTGCCTGTTCAAATTGCCAAGATGAATCAAATTGTGATTTACACACAAACAGGTAAATGTACTAACATCCCCAGCGCTAAAAACACAGCCTGATGTGTCCCTCTGCCTGCCAGTGTCTTTTCTGAGCGTGACAGGTCCATCAAAATGAATACTAAGGAAAGGGCTAGGATGCCGGATGTGCTCACATGGCTTGCAAAGCACATAGAAAAAGGGTTGGTGAAGACATAAATACATAATAAAATCATGAAAACACACACACACACACACACACACATAGATATATATATATATCACAAGGTTGTGCAAATTTGAAGTTTATTCTATATTTCTATGTGTGTTTACATTTTACTTTGAATTATTTTCTAGCAACTCAATGCTCTTATTGCTGCTTCCATGTCAATCAAATCCTCCGAGAAGCTGAAAGGGATCCTGGAGGTGAGACATTAGGACTATTATTTATACTCTTAAACTGCCTAATTAATCAACTTTGGCTTGGCTACGGTATTTATTACAGTTAAGCACACTCAGAAGCAGGTAGGACCGTGAATGAGCTCAGGAACTGAATGACCTCTGACCTTTGGCAAGCAAATGACCTCTGACCTTTGCCTCTCAAGCTGGAGTGTCAGCATAAAACTAAGGGGGTGAATCCAAATCTTTCTTTACAAGTCCATATAATCAGACTATATAGCCAAATGTTTGTAGACCTGTGCCCATCACATCCCTATGAGCATATGGGATATCCCATTCCAAAACGATGGGCATTGTTCTGGAGTTGCCCCCTCTTTGCAGCTATAACAACTTTTCTTGGAAGGCTTTTCACAAGATTTTGGGAGAGTATCTGTGGGAATTGTTGCCCATGCAGCCAAAAGCTCTAAAGGGTCAGGTACTGATGTTGGACAAGATGACCTGGTTTGCTTTGGTGTTCCTGTTCCAATCATCCCAAAGGAATTCAGTAGAGTTGCGGTCATGGTGCAGGTCATTTGAGTTCCCTACCCCAAACTCCTCAAACGATGTCTTCATGGATCTGGCTTTGTGCACCAGGGGCACAGTCATGCTGAAACAGGAAGGGTCCCTTTCCAAACTGTCACCACAAGGTTGGAGGCCCACAAATGTCTTTGTATGCTGTAGCATTTACTTACCATTCAGTGAAAACACCTGAACTCTACTTTGGAGGAGGTGTCCACATACGTTTGCTCATACATTTTAGTGTATAATAACATAAGAGTGACAATTCAGATGCAAGTACCACACAAACAAGGCTTCAGCCACTTTGAGAAGATGCCTAATCTCTCCCTGAATACAGTTTTCTGTAGGTCCAATGTGCTCTGACCCTATCCCTCTATTTACTATACAGCTGTGAGTCTGCACATTTTCTCTTTGAGCATTTCTGTGCTATTCTCGTCTGTCTCCTCCTTATATCCCCTATGATGTGGCTTTTCATGTCTCTCTCCTGTTGCAGCTGATTCTGGCATTCGGAAATTACATGAACAGCAGTAAGAGAGGTGCAGCATATGGATTTCGCCTTCAGTCACTGGATGCGGTGAGTGTCTATCAGAAAAATCAATTCCCCTTCAATCAGGATAAAAGTAGAATAATAGAGTTGAACAGTATAGGGCATGAAGTGGGGGTCTAAAGATGCAACTACAAGTTAGCTAAATGGATTTGTTCTTTAACCACTTCAAGACCAGGTGTTTAGACCCCCTTCCTGGCCAGGCCATTTTTCAGTGTTCAGCGCTGCGGTACTTGACTGATGTTTATTGCGTCATGCAACGCTGTACTGAAATTAATTTTATACCATTTTTTGGGGACAGATAGGGCTTTATTTAAAGTGACCTTAGCCCATGTATGGTAAAATAATGGGTCACTTAATCCGCTCTCTTCCCAACAGCATAGCCCATTACCACAATGCTCATTTCAAATAAATTCAACAATTTACTGGGTTTTGGGGCATGTGACCTAGTCCTCCTCTACCACCAGGCTCTTGTTATGGGTCCAGCACTGTCCCACATGGCCAGGTAAAGAACCTTGTAGCCTTGTGTAGACTTTGAGCATACACAGGGCTTCTTCCCATTGTCCCAGTAGCATTAGAGTGAGGAAAGTAAGTACATGCTGCTGGGAAGGAAGGGATGGAGCTAAGAGTACCTTTTACATAGCCCTCACTGGGCAAATGGACAGGCCATTTAAAAGGCACAGCAGCACAGAAGGCCTCATTTATGCCTAATTACAGTATTGCCCACAGCTCCACTACCAATTTCTATTGCCCCTTTTTCTTGTATTGTGTTGTTGAAGTGGAACCCCAACCATCCTGCTATATACACATGAAAAGCAGATTTACCTTCCCAAGCATTTAGAATTCCGTTTAGCCATTCTTGTGATTCTAACACTGCAGAACCATGTGACACCTCCTCTGTGACATGCCCTCTGCTTCTCAATGGACAGTATATGATGCTACTGGTTCAGTGTCCAGTGTCAGGTGATACAAGAGGCTGATTTGCCCAGGCACCAGCAGCAATTGTTAAATGGTTAGAGTATACAAGTATCAGGACATGTATGGCTGCTTAAAGGGAACCTGTCACAATAAAAATCTGGGAGCTGACTTGGGCTGTCAAGTTGCAGGTTTGACTGTTTTTTCTGATCCTTGCCCCACTAACCTAGAACAGAAGTTCAGACTTCACAGGGCTGCATGCCTATTGAAGGATATTGACATAGATCATAATAAAGCCAGGGTAAGTATGGGTGCCCTACGGAATGCAGACTCCTTATTTCTATCTAGAGTGAACCTGGCATCATTGCCTGTACCCCTATATGACATGCAGAGTCATATGTATGTTGTGTAAGCATCCCTGTCACCAGGGAAAACTGATTGGGTATAGCTGCATGTCATCCTGCCTAGGACCCAGGTCTAGAAGAGCACACAAACTATTTCTAGAATAGAGTACTTACCAATTTGTGTCTATTTACAGCTCCTGGAGACAAAGTCTACAGACAGAAAGCAGACCTTGCTTCATTATCTGGTACGAGTGATCAGTGAGAAGTACGCTCACCTGATGGGGTTCCACACTGACCTGCACTTCCTGGAAAAGGCTGCCACAGGTACCCGAGGACACTGTCATACAGACGTTCTAATATTGAATAGAGTAGGGACTGCAGTGATCCCATTGGGGACATTTCCCCTCATTCCTAGCCTTATGGAACCAGTGACTGGAAATAAAGGGAAATGTTTCCACAGGGCAGCAGATAGCAAAAACAAAAATGGATTCTACCCCTTACCAGTTCTACTAATACCTGTTCTGGGGGTTCCACCATCCAGGACAAAGAGTGAGGGGAAATGTCCTCAATTTCTTTCTGATGTAATGTCTCACCCTGTTCTATTCAAAGCCCATCTCCTGAACGGGAAGTGAGGGGAAAACTCCCCAATGATGATGCAACAGCAATGCAAAACATTTTCTGTTGAGTGAGGAAGGATTACAACCTCATCTCTTTATTACTGTGTTTCCATTGTGGAGGTTTCCCCTCATGTTATGTTTGGGTCATAGGCGTTGAATAGAACAGGATCCGGCATGGGCACACAGGCAGCAATTAAAAACTGAAAAAAGTTTGAGGAGATGTCCCTTCACTTCCTGTCCTGGTTGGTGGGCCCAAAAGGCAGAAAGGGAAGTCATAGCTAGTGTAGAGAGTACTCTGCCAATTCCCTGCTCTCATTATACATGTCTGACATCCCTGCCAAGTCTCTGGCCTGCTGTAGACCAAGGAACATTCTGCACCCATGTCACTGGATTGTTAAACACATTGAGGGGAATTTATCAAAACTGGAGCAGACAGAATCTGGAGCAGCGGTGCATGGCAACCAATCAGCTTCTCTCTTCAGTTTGTTCAGTTAAGCTTTGAAAAAGAAAGAGAGAAGCTGATTGGTTGCCGTGCACAGCTGTTCCAGATTTTGTCTGCTCCAGTTTTGATAAATTCCCTCTATTGACATTCTGTCAGAGGGTTCTTCTGGCCATGTGTACAATCAGGGCCGGCCTTAGGGGTGTGCGAGCAGTGCGGCCGCACAGGGCACCATGGCAACAAGGGCGCCGTGCGGCAGACACAGCTCGTCCTGGGATACTCTCATTAATGGTTGGGCAGATCTTAAACAGTATAAAAGACAAGTCTGTATGGGAAGCTCTGCAATACTAGGAGAAAAACAAACCACACAGGTCAGAGGAGGTCTCAGATGAAGTCTTTCCAGGCCATGGTTGACATACTCCTATACATGTATCACCATCCACATCACTGCAGTGGTAGAAAACCAATTCTGTCATGGAAACCTTGTTTACAACAATACACATTGTACTTCTGTTTCGGAAGAGTCATGTATGTGTAAAGTAGAACTCCCATATCTGATCGCCATCTGAAAATGCTTTGAACAAGTACATAGACCACAAAACTCCAAGAAATGTCAGGAGTCTGCAGATTTGTTCCAGGTCAGCAACTCCAAGTACTGATCAGCAGGACAGCCAGGCAACTGACATTTTCAGAGAGTCTGGCAATAGCAGCTTCTATGTCTCTCTTCTAGCCCATGGAACAGTCAGGTGCCATAGGCTCATGCTGTCATCCCGGGTACTCCTGTCCCTTCAACACCCCAAGCAACATACAATGGACATAACTATACGGCAAGAATCTCAGGGCTTATAGTGTATATTTTTCTTCCCCCCAAAATCCCAGTGTGCTATAAAGACAACCTAATAGCTTTAGTTGGATGACAGTTTCCATCATTGAAAGACTTCCTCTGCAGGTAAGAAGCTTTATTTAGTTCTAGGTAGAGTGTGTAAGAGTCAGAACTTCTGACAAGTTTATATTGTGGGAGATTTAACCTCACTTCCTGTCTAGGAACTAGGACAAGAAATGAGAGAGAGAGGGTGTCCCCAAAACTAAATACCTGACAGATGATCCCGCCCTTCCCTTGTTCTACTTTAAATAAAGGGGATTTTTATGGTCTATGACTTCCATTAGAGGATTATCTCATCAGTTTCTCTAAGTCACCCCCCCGGACATCAGGATAGAAAGCGAGGTTCCTGTACATCTCCCCAATGCAGACACAACATTAATACAAACCTGACAAGCATTCCATCCCTCCCCTTCAGTATGTTTGCCTTTACATGTCCATTTTCTTTCTACTCCTTCCTCTTGCTCAGTGTCCCTGGACGCTTTGTTGTCTGATGTCCGCTCTCTAGAAAACGGCATGGAACAAGCCCAGAAAGAATTTACAAAGCAAGATGACTGCCGCAGTCTGAAGGACTTCCTGAAATCCAATATGGACCCCATGACGCAGCTTTCTGCTGACGCCAAGACCGCACAGGTAAGACCTCAGCAAATCCACCATGTGGGTATGTCACCAGCTGGCCACAGTCCTTAGAAAGGCCATTGTCGAAGAATAAATCGGCCAGGATTTGGCCCATGAATAAAGCCCCATAGACAGGTTAGGGCTAGAGATAATAAAGTGCAAGTCCAGCCCAATTTATTGATTCTTTAGTTTTGGATAGAGTGTGCAAGGCTCTGATAAGCCCACCGTACACCTTACAATCTGACCAAACAATCAACTTTACATTTACCAAAACTATGGAATAGGAGGACCAACCCCAACTATCCAGTCAGGAAGACCTTTGCACTAAACAGAAAGCAGACGGGTTGTAGCCTTTCGCTACGAAAAAGTATTGGTATTTCTGTGATGGCGATTTCCCTTACTTCTGTTTGGTGAGCCATTGTCATTATTAGAATAATTGGGGGGAAATGTCTTCACGTCGGACAGGAGCTCTAATCCCTTCCCACTCCATCTAAAACCTCCTCATCCCTCCTGGCCCAATCAAATGTAACAAAGAACACCACCAAAACCACCGTCCTACAATTCACACAAATTTGGTTTAATCCTTCGGCCATGTTGCTAGTGATTACACGCACACACGCGCATAAGGGAAGAATTGATGTTTATTTACCTTTTCATAGTCATTACAGGAGAAAATGGTCACAACATCTAGCAGTTCGGCCTCAGCCATCTCTCATCAGGGAGACCATATGACCAGTGCCATACTATCCCATTCTTGAGTGCCGTCATGCAGGGGATTAGAGGAGGGCAAGAAATCCAGATTCAGAGGTAGAGATATGGCTGGAGCTATAATTCAATTGGTCCAACGGATCTACCAATGTTAGATTGTGTTCTCAATGTGGGTGGCAGCAGCCTGCTTGGCATATACATTCATTGTGGCAGCGTTCTCTCCATTGAGCTCTCCTTCCTCTGTCTTTCCAGGAAGCCTATGAAACAGTTGTTAGCTATCTTGGGGAGAACAGCAAGACAACAGCTCCATCGGCATTCTTCCCCATATTCGTTCGCTTTGTGAAGGCCTTCAAGGTAAGCCATTTTCTTTTTTGAATGACATATACAATTATATGGTAACCATGACTATAACTGAACATATTGATCGATGTTGTGCATTCACGGACCATAGGAAATAGTACAGGGATGAAGATTAGGCAGGCTGATCTCTTGGCTTTAACATGATCTGGGACAAGTCTTCTGCCTGTTCATTACAGTGAAGTCATGCCCATCTCCAGCCTGCTCTTGTACATGGTGATGAGGGTCACATGCACCGCTGTTCAGGGATTGCTCCTAACCAGTCTGCTAAACTTGTCACGTTTAGTCATTGTCCAGAGAGGAAAGTCTTTATAACTGAGCTGTACTGACCGAGTCACTCTTCTTCTTCTCCATTGTCAGAAAGCAGAGCAGGATCTGGAGGCAATGAAGAAGCAGGAAATGGCGTCCGCTGAGGAGAAGGCACAACCCGAGAAACCAGGACAGGTACGGCATCCAAACTGTCAAGGGGCTTCACCAAGTGATGTGATATTCTAAAGGGGGGGGAAAAAAAAAGGACATGCACATTAATTTAAAGTGATTCAACAAATTTAGTGTTGGCCTAGCAAGGGTAGCCAAACTCTGGCCCAACAGCTTTGGTGGAACTACAAATCCCATAAGGCATTGCAAGATTCTCACAGCCATGACACCCGGAGAGAGATGCATCGTGGGATTTGTGGTGTCACCGCAGCTGGAGGGCCGCAGTTTGGTTTCCCCTGGCCTAGTGGGTTTAAAAACTTCAGCAGTTATGGCAGTCATAGTAAGGACTGTGCCTTGGCAGGTCCTGCGAGTCATGTGACAAGAGGAAGCTGGGGACACACCGGGGGGAGTTTGTCAAAACTGGAGCAAACAAAATGTCGAGCAGATTTGCACAGCAACCAATCAGCTTCTCTGTCTTATTTTCAAATCTTACCTGAGCAAAGTGAAGAGAGAAGCTGATTGGTTGCCATGGGCAGCTGCTCCAGATTCTGCCTGCTCCAGTTTTGATAAACCCCCCCCCACCACTGTGTCTTCCTTCCTTCCTTGTTCTCAATTTATCTCAGCCTGCAATAAACACTTCTGACAGTGAGATGGCAAAGTACCACCATTTCCCAACCTGTGAAATGCTCAACCAATTGTCACATTGAGGATGTACAGGGGCACCCTATGGATCTGCAACGCTTGATCCGACATTTACAAATTTGGACGAGTGGAGAGATTCAGGTAAAATTACTGATGAAATGTCACCATACTTTCCAAAGGTGCAACTTGCTTGAAACAAAAATATACCTTCAAGAAAACCTTCCCATGTTGCTGTGCAAAGTCTTTTTTGTTTATTGTTAATATCTGAGGTTTGTTCACACACAAAAAAAGGAACAATGTAAATTAAGACAATTGAAAGTGTCAGTACGCAGGAATGATTTTTTAGTTTGTTGTATTGTTAGGTTTTTTTTTCCTCTCTTTTTTTTTTACAGAAAAAAAAGCAAAAAAATGTACTATAAAAAAAATCAAGTAACTGTACATAAGGGCGTATATAGTTGCTTTCTTTTTTATTGTACGATTTTTGTTTCACAGAAAAAAAAGCTGAAAAAAAGTAAAAAATAAATAAATAAAACGGCAACAAAATGTTCACACAAGCGCGGCCTACGTGGCTCAGACCTTTATAAATCCGCATACGATTGGTCTTTTTTGAGCTATTCGCAAGTTGAGAAGGAGATGCATACGCACCTTTAACTTTAACCGTGAAAAACATGACATGCATATACTAAGCAGCATCGGCTCACTGCAACATCATAAGACATGTAACGTTCACATCTCTGCTGTAATAATACCTATGTATGGTTATGGATCTAATATATGCATCTCTTTTGGTTTTGTTCTTTGTTCCCTGGATATGCATCAGCTACACTGAGACTTTGTACGCTATGTGTTTTTGTACGTTTCAATAAAGACGTTTTTGAATTTAAAAAAAAAATGTTCACACAAAAAAGGGGAGAAAAAACAAACAAACAAACAAGGTAAAGGGCATTTTCTGTATTGTTTTGGTGTATTTTATCACCGAAGAAAAACAAAAAGTGCAGAAAAAGTACATTTAAAGAGACTGCACACCAATTGTGTACCGTTACCTTATTTTTGTTCATTTTACCTTTTATTTTATTTCTGTGGGGAAAAAAGGTAAAAAAAATTAATTTTGAAATTAACAACTACATTCAAAATTACATTTGGAAATAAACTTCTCCCAGGAGTCATTTAAAGAGACCCTGTCACCACGTCTTATCCTGAATACCTGCAGGCCAGGGGTAGCAAAACTGCGGCCCTCCAGCTGTGGGGAAACTACAAATACTGTCATGCATCTGCCTCAGTAGGCCATGCCTGTGGCTCTCAGAGACTTGCAATGCCTAAGGGGACTTGTAGTTTCATCACAGCTGGAGGGCCGCAGTTTGGCTACCCCTGCTATGGGTAGTTGTAGAAGGTGAAGTGTTGATCTTGGGACATATTTCCTACTTGCAGCAGAAACCTGGTGATGGGGTGCTGCGGGCAGCCTGGAAATGGTCACTCCAGGTATAGGGGCAGCAATACCTCTGCTTGGTACTCTCAGTTGCTGCAGCAGAGAGAATTACTAGTCCATCATTGTATTTAGTTCATATGACAGGATGTGGTGACAGGGTCTTATTAAAGCCCACCGCACCCTCAACAACCACCTTTGTGTCTCCTTTTATATTAGCTTAGATGCATTTTGCTCATCCACAATTTCCCATTTCTCTGATTTAGTCTCCACCTGTCAAAGCATTAAAACCACAAGTCAACCTGATGGCAGAGCTGAACAAGAAGCTGCAAACAAAAGAGCCGCGGGTGTATGAGGAGAACTGGGCCATAGAGGATATCATTACAGGTAAGGAGAGCTCATTCAGAGTATGTGTGCTTGAGATTAATGTTCATGTGTGATGAAGAAAAATGATGTTGGAAGTTGTTTCGTAGTTACTTCAGTTCTAAAAAGTGTCAGGAAGATACCCCATCATGTATATCCACACAGGTAACACAGGCACCTTAATCCAATCACCATGGGATGTGTAGATATTGATGGTCCAAGAACAGGGTGGGAAGTGTGCAAGTGGAAGCATGCTCTTCTAGTATCTTGGTAATCCCATCCTTGGTATTAGCAAAGCTTCATAGATGTTAATGCTTTGCAATGATTTGCATGGCTGAGGGTGTGAATTAGTGTCAAGGTGCTGGGGTAGGGATGGTAGGACTGCATTCTATGTGGAACACGGATGGTGTGAAAGGCCCTCATTGCTGTTCAAAGATGGTGGTTCTAGTTTGACGTAGAGCAGCCATTCTTTTTGTCCAAAAGTGCACCTCACGTTCTTCATAAGAATAATGAAAGAACGGGGAGGTGCACATTTCACACAGAGTGGACAACTGGTGAGCAATGTGAGAGGCCATCTAATTCAAACTGGTACAACCATCCTTGAATAGTGGCGGGGGCGCCCTCAGCACCATCTGTCTTCCATATGTAATGTTGTTTTACATTTCTACCCCCGGCATTGTATTACAATGTGCACCTTAAGCCATGCACGCTCTAGGAAGGATTAACACCTGTGGAGCCTTACTGACACCAAGGATGGAAGTCTGTATCTAGAACAGTTTGTGTCCACAAATTTCAGGCCTCCCAGTCTGTTCTTGGACGTTTCACGTGCCTTTCCATAGTGATTGGAGGAAGGTGTCTGTGCAACCTGTATGGCTATCATTGCTTTGGTATGGTCCTGACACTGACTGGAAGAAACTACCAAACATCTTCCAGTTGAATGTGACTAACTACTCCCAGCTATACCTTGACCAATGAGAACTCTCACAGACCGCATCATGCATTGTACTTGGCTTTGTGTCTTATGCGTGTGAGCCCTAAAACCTGTCTGGTGAACATTAGTGCAGGCGATCGATTTTGTGAGCAAAAAAGAGTACATCTGGGCCCTACAGCAAGTTGTCAACACCCTCCCCCCCCCCCCCCCCGCGGGGTATTTTTTTAAAGAAATAAAAGTTCTATATG